GAATAGGGGTTCTTAAATTGTGATGATATAGAATAATATGTTAGTCTAACTTGGAGTAAAAATGATGTCGAACTCAAGCTGGTGCATACTGTAAATCACAGCTCCATTTGGTGAACTAGTACCTAGTCTAAAGTTCTGAAAGCGATGGCACAGAGACAGGCAAGAAAATATTAAAATGTAGCAGGTGTTCAGTCTCAGTATGAGAGCGTGCCCCTTCAGTGAGTAAAGATCTCAGCACGCTAGTGATATTCCACTGCTTAGGGCAAAAGGTGTTTTTTTTTTCTTCCATTTTAGCTTTGAGACCTCTGTTTCCAGCCCAAACTGCTGCATAAAAAAAAAAAAAAAAAAAAAGACAGAAAAAGGCATCAACAGGCACATAGTGGTATCAGAGGTTTTTCCTTCATAAAAATTCTCAGTCATTAGTGGCTTCTAACATGTTGGTGTTTAACCCCTGAATACTTCACAGCAGGTAAAAATACCCAAATGGTTTCTATGTAAATATTAGTGATAAGCCACAGTGCTGAAAGAATATACACATTTTATGAGTATCATCCAAGGGCATAAGTTTAGTTTTAGCTTAAGGGGATGCAATGAAGCCGATATTTATGTGTGTATATATATATATTTATTTATTTATTTATTTTCTTTTTTAATTTATTTTTCCATCCCAGGTTGGTGCCAAAGCTGCCAGGCTATGTAGCATGCCCAGCAGGGTCCACCAACCAAATGGCTACAGGCAGCCTGTGTGTAACCTGAGAGGCAAAGCGCTCTCTTCATCTCATGACGTCACTTGCTCTTAAGTGCAGGGTGACAGCCAAAGGCGACCTAGATGAGTGCATCTGCATCTGTATCAAGTCAGAGTACTCTTTCATTTAGATTATGACAGCTGGGACACTGTTAACAGAGGATGTAGTGATTTACTCAGATTGTAGCTGTAAAAAAAAAAAAAAAAAAAAAACTTAAATTTTTAAAAGGGGCAGAAGCATTTGCCAGTGGAAATATTTATCATTTTTACCGATGATATACAAAGTTGCAATCTATTTTTTTTTTTTTTGTGTTGAAATGTTAAATTACAGTAACTAGCAAAGGGAGCATTATCTACATTATGCATTAAGTTTCTGTCCTCTATAGGCAGACAGAACACAGAGCACTGCACTGTGCTAGCAAACAGATGCATATAGTTACTTACATATATAACAGAAACAAAGCAACACAGGCATCGTCTTTTCTTGTCAACTGTCAGAGGAAAGCCCCTGTTTTCACACCTTTTAGCCGTGGTTTATTCTGCCGGCTGCTGTGTCATATGGAAGTCAAGGTGATTACTTTCAGACTCAAACATAATAGACCTGCGAAAAAACAGCATGCAGAGAGCGGCACAGAGGTGCCGACTGAGTGTTGATTCTCAGTGGGATCATCAGCACTCGCAGCCCTCTCACATATTACTTAATGCAGCTTTAAAGTTCACAGCATAGTCAGATTTGTCTTTCGTCATAGATTGAGGGAGGCACAGTGACATGGTCGTAAAGTGTGAATAATGTCATTTGTAAATGAGCTACCATAATAATTTAAGACAACTAAAAACTGTAGAAAAAGAAAAAACTATATAGTTATACTGTGAGCATTGTCTAAGCCAGAGAGTAGCTATGGTTAAGTACTTGCACACCACTGTGAGAAAGAGGTTAGTGGCTTCATTTATACATAATGTATAAAAATAGGCCTGGGTCTGTAACAGCTGTACGGTAAACACATTTGAAATAAACTCGGTATTTAATCATTTTGTGCCTTCATTATCATTTCTGAAGAGGTGGTCCAGGTGTGTAGCAGTGGGGTAAATTGGATGCAGAGTACGGTGTTTACATGCAAAAAGATTTCTATTCTTAACCCACTTTGTCAAGTAACCCAGTTTTTGGTCAGTGCATGTGAAGGACTCATAAGCGTCTTGCATTCCTTTGATTATGAGAAACACATCTATGACTAATGTGATATCCGGTCTGTTTGTTTTTCTGTCTATATTTATTTTCAATTTCCTGAATTTAGTTGTTTTTTGCAGAGATGTATGATGAATCTTTTGGAACTGGCAGCTATATGACATTGTTACCATCTATATATACCGATAGAATCTTACACAAGACTTTGTTTTTGTAGCTGCAGCATGTAAATTATGGAACAGGATTTCAGAAGCAAACCAAGATGTACAGAAACACTCCCATCAAATTCTCTGTGCAGTGATGGATCAGTGTGGCCACACTCTTTTTTTTTTTGTTTGTTTGTTTTGTTTTTCTTCTTTCTGTGCAGACACAAACTGCCACAGTGTCAGCACATTTTTCACATCAACCAAAAAAACATGGCAAACACATAGAGCACTGTAATGTTAGTCATGAATTTCCCCCTGTATATGAAGGAAGCTCTCGCTCAGTCAAAGACAGTAGTATACTGTTCTTGCTGACAGACCACTTGGTGACCACGTACAACCATAACCTATATGCTACTGACAGTGCTCATAGCATTGATTCATCGCCTGTGAACCGTCACAGGCAGTTCAACTGACAGAAAACTTGGCGTGATGATGCATTTAGGTTTCAGCAGAAAAATCATCCATAGATTAAGCGATCATTGACGTCTGACATTTGATGTAATGTACGACAGCACACAGATGGCACCACAGAAAAACAATAAAACATAATCTATATTGCAAAAGTGGTGGGCAGTATCATTTTAAATGACCTCTATCTCTCTGATAAACTGTTAACATCAGACTGACAGCAACTTTGATAAGACTACAGTCACAAATGTAACGGCCCGACCGATATTCACACCGTTAAAATGAAGACGTCACTCATATTCCAATTGAAATGTCCATCAAGGTTAGTTCACAATCCACTAGGGATTACCCACAATTTCTTCTCCTCGGAGACATGCACTGGCAGGAGCGGTGATCACATACTGAAGCTCCAGCCAGATGATGGAATGACTACGTGAGCACGCGCCTTGGGTATCCCTCTCTGTACTCTGTCAAAGAGAAGCCTCCAGTCACTGCTTAGTGGCAGAAGATGCATTACATTGCAGTGACATTCGAAATAGTCCCCGAGGTGCTCCACCATTGCTTTGACTGACAGACCAGCTTGCGAAACCTGTGCTGTCCCATAATTCACCAGATGCTCTGTGCTCTCTGTGGTCTCATGGATTCCCTCTATTCTTATGTCCCAAGATGCACAGAGCTTTGTCAGTGTCACTGTCTTGCCTTTTTTTATTTTTTTTTCCATTATCATCACTCTAGTTGCATTGGAAATGTGTCTTTCTTCATTGTAAACATAATGATATGAAATATAGGTTATTAAGCTGGTTAACAATGCACAGTGAGAGTTGCTTGAGAGCTCCATCCAGTTGTTAAGCAATTTCTTATTCAACAAATCTCAACAATCAATAGCGCTGAGCTTCATGTGGCTGGAAAGCAAACCACAAACAATGGCTTCCAATTGGTGAACAGAGAAGTTTATGGCCCATGTAATTTTCTGCCAACTGTCGTTTACAGTAGATTTTGAAAGCACCGCAATGACAAGACCAGCACATGGTATGAATCATGTAGCTATCAGTCGTTAAAAATGTTGTATTGATACTGGTGCAGGTTTCCTTGTAATATAATATAATATAATATAATATAACATTATAATATGATATAAAACGTCTCTTCAAATTTGAAAAAATTAAACTACATGCTCTTGTCTCTCAAAAAAAATTTAAACAACCTCAAATTGTTGATACAAGTTTTCAGCTGAGAATTACTACTTAGATGAGCCAGGACCCATTATAATTCAAATGCTGCATATATCACTCTAACTTGAAGCAGCGGGAGCGGCATAATGAGACGAGGAAACAATAACAGCAGTAACAATCATTAAAAGCTTGTTTTATTAACCCTTTGTTATATGCTTGTACAGCCTTTAATTATGTGAGGCAGATGGTGCTCTGCAGGGACAGCACAGTAGTCGTCTCTTGGAAGTCTGAGCTTTTAAAGGAGTTTGATGGCAAAGTGTTCAGTGAACGGTATCTCTGTGTTATCGCTCGTAGCGCGACAGATGCAAAGGCAGAAACAGTCACAGAATGCTGAAAATCAGTAACATGGGGGCAAATGGTGGCCATAAAGAATCAGTAAATTTATTGTTTACAGTTTTCCACGTTAAAAAAAAAATAAAAGTAATCAGTGCTATAAATTTAGTGGTTTTCAATAAATTCAGTGGTATTTCAATGGCAACATATTTAGAAATGACAACATTCTACAAGTATGTTTAAAGTTACTAATTTCATTGAAATCTTTTTGTCCATTATTTGCATCCATACAATGTGGCATTAGGGGTTCCTTAGATATTTTCACATTCATGAAGTCAGGTTACTTCATCGAACTACGTCATGCAGTTTGATTTCTTCAGCTAAAAAAACCATCTTGTGGACCAGACACAGCACCAGAGGAATACCTCCGCCAGGCAGGACATTACAGTTTCCCAGACTGCCTTCAAAAGTACAACCAAACATCCATGCTGATCTGCTTAGCCATCCTGCCCCTCAACCCCCTAATGAACAGGAGCAAAAGAGCTCTTGGGCTTAGCCTCTCCCTCTTAGCCTAACTTAACAAGATGTCCCCCTACTCACTTGCTTTCTCTCTCTCTCTCTCTCTCTCTCTCTCTCTCTCACACACACACACACACACACACACACACACACACACACACACACACACACTTAGACACACATACACAGACACACCTCCCAAACCCCAAACCACTAACCCTCAGACCAATCTGTCTGTGGCACTAAAGTATTATTAGACTTACACACTCTCAAAGGGGAAACAGTGAGTGCTGAGAGCTGGAAGATGAGATATGCTACAGGGGCTACTAGTTCCATTAAAATGGCATTCACTGGGGCCTTTGTTATCATCGGCCCTGACGTTTTCAGGGTGTAGTGGGGCTTGCTGATCCATGACCATCTCATCTATCTTTCAGGATTTGAAGGAAGTTGGTGTGAAATTGACACCAATGAGTGTAGCTCAAATCCATGCCAAAACCAGGGTGACTGTGTGGACGGGGTCAACAGTTACAGGTAAAGAGTGCTATCCATAACCAGCTTTACATGTCTTAGGAGGCAAGATAATGTCAAGCTTTGTAGAGACAGACTTTAAACAATTGTTAATCCAGAGTATAAGTAGTAGAAACCTTCATATACTGTCATTTTGATAGTAGATTGCCTGGAGCTAATAGATTTGTTCTAAGGTCACATTCTTTCTTCACATTATTTAATAGATGTAGCAATATAAAAATGAAATGAGGTCAAATTGGTTACAAGAAAAAAAAAAAAAAAATCTACCTCAGCCACCTTTAGGTTTAGTGAAACAGTCAAAATCCACACCGAGGTCACGATAGTGTATGTGCAATCAGACCAAATATGATGTGTAATTAGTATCATCAAATTGCTTCTTATTGATTTTTTTCACTCTGTGCATGTGCCAGTAGGAAACGGATAGATCTTCTATTTTCCATTGGAGACAAAATATCAATATTAATGATTTTTCTGTTCCAGCTGTGATTGTACGATGGGATTTGCTGGCCATCACTGTGAGGAAGACATCAATGAATGCACCTCTAGCCCTTGCCACAACGCTGGCATTTGTGAAGACCTTGTGAACGAGTAAGTATGAATATAACTTTTTCTTTTTTTTTTTTTTGCTATGACTTTGCATCTTATTCATTGTGTGCTTTTAAAAAAAAAAAAAGATCAAATATCAATAAAGGCCAGGCAGAATTAATTTCCTGCGTTTGTTTTGAAAGGCGAAAGAACATAAGCGCTCTCCAAAGAAAAAAAAAAAAAAAACGCGAGGTTGTGGCGTTCATCTTCAAAGTGTTCCGGTTTATATAACAAGCCCCACTTCATCCTTGACACACATAAGCTGCTATTCTAAAGACAGAGAGTGAGTCCAGCAAGAACACATCATGTATCTAGATTGGGCTTTACTCCACTGGTGCTTCTCTCTGCTGTGCTTAATGGGAGCCCCGGGGCTTCCAGGCTTAGTCGGACAGATGGGTAGAAAAGTCCCAGGGCCAATTTGAGTCCTAAATGGTTTGTCTCCAGTTTGTCTCCCGTCATGATTTCGCTCCCATGTGACCTGGCCCTGCTCAGAGCGCTCCTCTGATTGCACAGTCCAGGGAGTTCACATCAGGTGTGTTTTAACCTCGCTGCCCACCACGAACACTACACACACCGCCGTTTCCGTCTCCCTGACCCAACAAGCCGAGCGAGTCCATCTGTACCGTGGTGATGAATCAGACTCTGCTGTATACTCGCTGAGCCTGTGCTGTCTTCATATTTACCCATCCTTCTCCTGAAGATACTATGAGTTTGACTCTGCAGGGGTCACGTAGTCTCATCTCATCTATTTATATGCAGTACAGGCTTTTACTTAAGACACCAAACTAACTCTAAGTAGACACTGGTGTAACAGATTGCAATGAAGGAAGTGTTAATTGTCGTGGCAATGTTCTCTCAGACCTGTCCAGCCTTTGAGGTTTGCATAATTAGGCAGCAGTTTGTTGCGCTACATGAGAATAAAAATACACTTCCATATCACAGAGAATTGATATGGTGTAACTGGTTTACTGATGGAAAAATGATGTTTAAATAATCAAAAGATGTAGTTTATATTCGGACACAGAGGTATCTAATGACATGTTTTCTAATTATCTCACCTAGAAACAGCAGAACCGTCTCCTCTGAGGTGTGTGTCAGGGGATATTAGACACACCGACAGCTGCAGAGAGGGATTTGAATTGAGTAAACTGCACAGATTAAACTCTTCCCTTTGAGTAATAAGTCATCAAACATAATTCAAATGAAGTTACTCAGCGGGAAAGTTAATTGCTGTCATATTGTTCATTTCTGTGTGAAGATTTTGAGAATGAAAAAGGAGTCTTAATCTGCATCTTAGCTTGTCTTCGTGCGTTTCTAGTGCTTCCTGTTTTTCTCCCAAGTAATTATTTGTGCAGGAGTGTGTGCAGCTTTTACAGAGAAAACGATTCTGCTTAATTTAAAGTTACTGCAAGACTTAAACATATAAGTGTTACTGTCTGGATTTCCCTTTATTTTTTTTATGATCGAGTGTTATTACATCTTCCTTAGATTCCGCTGCATTTGCCCTCCTGGTTATTTTGGAACGCTGTGTGACCTGGATGTGAATGAGTGTGAAGTTTCACCTTGCCTACACGAGGGCATCTGTATCAACACGCCCGGGGGCTTCAAGTGTGTCTGTCGCCCTGGATACTCAGGTAGCTCTTTTGCCCTTAGGTGACATGAAGATCAATATGAGAGTCTAAAAAGCTTATCATGACTGCAGCGGTCGCATGCTATTGAGGAAACTCTGACACAGATCTGGCTTAGTGTAAAAAAAAAAAAAAAAAAAAACTGCTTCACAATGCTTGCTTTTAATTAGCCCGTCTGCCTCTGCAAGATACAGCGCCTGCTTTTCAGTAAAGCCAACAAGAGATAAATTAATGTCACCAGTTTTATCTGATGAAAACTTCTCAGTGTCTGTTAGTTGCCTTTATTTCATTTCATCAGCCTCTTAAGACTCACAACGCTATTGTTGTTTTACTTCAATCCATTTGTCTTATTTTCCACCCAGACGGATATCGAGCTATTTTAGCGTGTGTGTGTGTGTGTGTGTGTGTGTGTGTGTGCGCGCGTGCGTGTGTGCGGGTGCGTGTAAAGCCAATTCCTGTCAGGTACTGGGAAGATTAATTTCATTTGTCTTCCACACTGTATCATCAATTTATCCTTCCCCAGTTGAGAGAGGGGGGGAAATCTCTGAGGTATTGCTACTCTGGAGAGCAGAACCTGACACGCATGGCCCAATTCCCACAGAAGCAGCTTTTATTATTAGGCCTACGCACGGCATAGTACAAGTCATTACTTTTTCTGTTGCTCTAAGCTCATCTGAGGAAACAGGGCTCCCCAGGAGAGCAAGCGGCCAGAGGATACAGTTTGGATCGGCTCAAACCGACTAGAACTCACACAAAATATTTGCTCTGGTAGCACGTGCAACTTTTCGCAGGAACACAAATGGGTTCATGCTGCTACTGTAGCTGTGTGTAACTTCTCTTTCATTCTAAATTGCAAATCTTGGGGTGATTCATCACTTCATGTTTTCGCAGCCTGATTGAAATTGATTGAAATGTTATTTTGCTTTGATGGTCTGATGTGTCATCTCTTCTCTCACTGAAATCCTGTAACTTGTTGTGTCACTTCATGGTATTAGAATATCAATTGGTCCTGCTATCAGGAAAGTAAAGGTGGTTTTTTTTGTTGTTTTTTTTTTTTTTACCTGCATATCGAACGCCAAAATTCATTCTGACTTAAATGGTTGACGCTGCCTACTATTAAATCAGTTGTGTGCTACATCTACACACTTTTCATGGATGTGATTAAGCTATGATGACACATCCCCACCTGCATCACTATCCATATTGAATTTTCATACTAGTTTTGTATTGAAAGTCTGTTGGTGAATCTGCGTTCTGCTCTTTCAGTAAATCTTCTGCTTTCATATAGCAGCTTCTTCATGTAGCAGTTTTTGCTAAGAAATTGTCTAAAGGCTCCGACTATTACCCTCTTTTCAAAAATGATGGAATTTTTTTTTTTTTACACATGTAACATGTTTTAGCTTTGAGAAATAATTGAAGCGAGGAGGCAGAAAATTGTTTTATTCACATTTGTGACACTTCCAACAGCTTTTATCAATACTTTTTACCTTTGTAAAAGTCTGTGTGACCCACTTTTTTAAAGTGTTAGACTAAAGAAGTGCTTTTTTTTTTTTTTTTTTTTATCTGGCAGTTTTCCTCACTTCTTGGCAAGTCAGGTGTCGGTATTCATCATTTGTTCAATAACAGTCTTTAGTAATGGCTTTCACCTAATCGTGTGTAATTATGCTTTATTTTTACATACGGCGTCATTTTGTTCTGCATGTGTCATACTGAGAAACACTTACATTGTGAGACAGTTTTGGCAGCTGCTAAGATCTCAGCTGTCTTATCATTATTTAGGTCGTTTGGTTTAAAAGGCTCTGTAATCCTGATAATGTATTATTTAACTGTACATAGCCGCTGTGTTCTATACTGAGGTCAGAAGTCATTACAGTGACATGATGAATGGCTAATCGTGTTTATATAAATCACGGTTTAAGCACACTATTCGTCACCTTCTGTTTTCTCTTCTTCACCCATCATTAAGGAGCACGTTCCCTTGAGTGATAGTACAGTGCAATCAGCACATTGTTGCAAGCTGCCTCAGTCAGCACATTGTTGGATGATGATGTTCTGGCCCCCACAGTGTTGTTTTGATGTTAAGGCTTCAGTAAATTCAGTCTTTTGCTGGGTGAACTGTCGCCGTTATTTCTATCCTTGCCTTCAGCCTCTCTTGCTTCAGAAATGTATTTTATATTTAAAGTGAATGGAATATCATGTACTGCCTGTGCTAGCATTTATTAATACATTATAATTATACATTTATTAATCGTATCAATTAAAAACCAGCTCTTATTACTGTGGGACAGAGTCAGTACATGACTTATACATGTGTATTTTGGGCTTAATGCTTAAAATATGTCAAGTGTTTTCTCAGAAACAGAAGTATCAGTTTGAAGATACAAGTCAACCTACAAATGCCCAATTAAGCTTCAAGACACTTTGCAGTCTAGTTGTATTAACTAGTATGTGTTCATCTTAATAAGTAGTAGGGCTTTTTAAGGTATTCCAGACCCTGGTTCACCAGCCTGCGCCATTAAATGTTCGATATATAATTAATTCAGGATCTACTGCCAAATTCCAGCCCAGAACCTTGAAGTAAATACACAACTTCTGACCTAAATAAAAAATATCAAGATACACGAGTGTGAGCATCAGCCTATGGATAATGTGAAATACTTAAATTGTGTCATGAAAATGTGTGTCAGATAACAAAAGCGATTTTTTTATTTTCTACAACCCATTTTGCTTCATTTCCCTCATCACACTTCGGTTGTGCATTATCCGCAGTTCTTCCTCTCTCTTGCAACTCTTATTGTTATTTTTGGTTTCAAGCACTGCTTTGTCACCTCTGCTGTCATGAACTGAACTTTCCAGCTGTCGTAGAGCATTCCCTTTGACTAAATGAAACAAGTTATCACTTTGGGACAAGAAAGGAACCGTTTTATAGTCTGTAACCAGAGAAAGGTGATAGAATTTGTGTACGCTAAAGACAGCTTATTTACTCTCTTTCATGATAAAACACAGGAGGCAATAAATACATTTGTGCTCCTGCTGTCACTGTGTCTCTTTACATCTGTCTGAGCCCACAGATAAAAGGCCGACCACATGATTAACAATGGGCTAGTCATCATTTTTCATCTCTGCATTCCTGGATGTCTCAAATAGATTTTAAAGGTATTAAAGATTTTTTTTAATTTATTTATTTTTATTTACCACTTTTTTCTTGGAGGTAGAATTAGCCACCACCCATTCATTTATTTTTAATTCCTTAGCAAACAGTCACTTCTGTGGATCTCTCTAAAGCACTGCCTGCTATAATTCAGACTACTATAAACATCATCAGTGTGTGTTCCCCACTTGTGGTATGATTTGTTGGCAGGAGGAAGTCTAATTTTGACAGTTTCTGTAATCTGGTGTTTCCCGCACAGCTTGAACTCTCAGCTTCCCTTCATTTCTTCTGTGATCTCATTGCTATTTTTGTGAGGTGTACATAAATAATGAAAATCATCAATTCCCTGAATAACGCTGACTTATTTAGTGAAGCTTCAGACTTATTTATGTGTGTCTGATGGACAGTGAAGGTATAAGTTGTTTTGTGGATAATTCACGAGTTCCCTTCGAGTCAGCACATTTGGTGCATTCCTTTTTTTTTTTTTTTTTTTTTTTTTTTTTTTTTTTTTTTATATAGAGGATTTTGCCTTTAAAGACATGGTAGTGTGTAGTCACAGCTGTAAGGATATACAGCTCTTACAGTATATGACACACTTTTCCATTAGTTCAGTGCTGCACCTCACTGACTCCTCTCAGGGACATTACAGGGACAGCAATAGCTGCAGCCTGCTCAGCTCTTTTAGTCCACCAGGTTTATATGTTGTTATTACTTTTCACTTTTTTTCAAATCCTTTCTCCGGTTTCTTATTTATGATCTAGATAGAACTATCTTAATTTTATAAAATACAATTAAAGTGTTTCTAACGGGGCAATTTACCAAAATTACAAATGAAAAAACTAGTTTTCACACTCAGTTTTAGTTCTTCATTGATAACTTTGGTTTTATTGAGAATTTGAGATATCTACTTTGTTTGCGGTGTTCACAGCAGTCATAAATGACTTTTAAAAAAAACCCTAAACAACTTCTATTTCAAGAAACAGTGTCTCAGTTTTCAAAAGTAAAAAAAGAATCGTATGAATTTTCTTTGTGATGAAGAAATACTGCAGTCCATGTGAAAACGGGTAATTCTTTGAATTATCTGAAGAGGTAACACTGGGGACACTGTTGGGAATGAATTGTGGCCGGTGAACTTTTTCAATACTGTGAGCACCACGCATGAAGTTCTTTCATCTCCACTGTCATCTGAATGGAGACAGAAATTCCAGAATCTGGATAAACTGTTCCTTTAAAGACACTATAAGCCTTTATATATAAATATATATATATATATGTATATATATTTTTTTTTTTCTAAAGGAATAACTTCATTTCATTATCGGCTTATTGCCTGTTAACTGTACTGCACTTATTAGAAGCACTCTACTAATAGTGGAGCGTATGACTTAAATGATAGATCAGTTATCACACTTGTTTGGGATTTTTTTTTTCTGCTGATTAGAAAATTTGATAATCGACTCATCGTTACAGCTTTAGTGTAGATATTTGTGAGTCAACCTTTCAATACCCTTTTACTCACAAAGTTTCACAAGGTAAAATAACCATCTGGCAAAAAGACTTTGTCTTTAGCATGGGGTATTAATGGCTCATCTGTGATTTTCTTTTCATTTTCTGTCTTTCAAGATCTGATTTACCGTATATACTTCATATGACACACAGCTTCTGTTCCTAGGCATTACTTCTGCCTGGTTTAAAACTCGGTTAAAACTTTCTTCAGGAGATAATATGTTGCTATTTATGTGGAAGCTGGATAGTGAAAATTAAAATGAATGCCAGTAACAAACTAAAGGCTGTTTCTCCGCGAGTGTCAAACACAATCATGACACACAAGTTAAAGCCACTTTGAATTGTGTGTCTCCTTTCCATTAAAAGTAGTAAAAGTAAGTTGTCAGTAACAGAAGAATAATATGTGAGAAAGGTAACTTGAGGTAAAAATAAGAAATGAACTAAACAACCCTGAAATCCTTTAATGCAATGTTAGTTTACTGCGCACAGCACGCTCATGTTTACCATCCCTGCCAGTCTATGATCTGTATATCAAAGGTTACTAAAGAGACCAGAGAGGAAAAACATGTCATGCTGCCGAGGCAGCTTTATCTGGACAGTTTGCTCACTGCTGCACAGTGACTTTATTTTTCCTTTAAATGACTGCAGAGGTGGTGCTTTTGAATGATATAGTGTATTAACTACAAACTGTAATACAAAGTGTAATATATAAGTTTGTGTTGAGTAAGTTTGAGGCAATGTGAAATTAGACTGAGATAATTAATAGTAATTCATTTTCATACTGTGCAGTTTTTCAATATTTATAGTTATCGGGCTGTTCTATCATAGTCAAGTTTGTGACATATATTTTTAAATAAAAATCTCTCCTTCTAAATTCTTCTAAAAAAAAAATAAAAAAAAACAGCAATTACTTTATCTTGACAACTCTTTGTAGCCACAGATATGCATATATATATGATACGCAGTTGATTAACTGTGCTACATCCAAAAACTATTAAAAACATAAAAGTGCTGGTGCATTTTGTCAGCATATTCCCTCATTGCATTAAACATTGCGAGTGTAGTGTATTTGTCTCAGTTTGTGAAACTAACAAAACATTGGGACTATGTCCTGGAGCATACAGTGATGTCTCCAGAGATCCAAAATGCAGTTGCAGAGTTGTTTCAGAACTATCAAAAACCCAGGCATTGTTTGTTTATTTTACAAAGATTTGCAGAGTTGTTTTGTGCTGAAAAAAATAAAATCGAACCCAGACTAACAGACGACTTCTCCAACTCTGAGGTCGCGTTCTTGACTGCGCCCCGCTGCTGTTTACATCCCATTGTAATGTTTTTAATCTGTGTTTCTGTAAACAGTTTGACTGCTGAAATCCTCTCTCCTATTAAGTTGTTTAATATTTGATATATTACTGAAACATGTTTATTTCCTAGGTGCACGGTGTGAAGTTAACATCGATGAGTGCGTTTCAAACCCATGTCAAAATAGTGGGAGATGTATCGATGCGCCTAATCGATACCACTGCTCATGCCCTGATGGCTTCATTGGGCTCCACTGTGAGATCAACACTGATGAATGCATGTCAGCGCCTTGTCTTCATGGGAGGTACCGACCCCCGACCCCCCCCCCCCCAAATAATTTCTAACAGAAACACTGCAAATTGTGCAGAAGTGGCATGGAATTATTTTTAATTAGACTCCTTGCCAGCACAGTGAGGGGAGACATAAAGTATATCGCATGTGCTAATGTGATGCACTTACAGGTTGTCTCAGTCATCTCTAAATTACAGTCATTAATTCCGTTGAAGACGAAGCACTCATTCATTCAAAAGAGTGTATCTCTCTCAAAGGATTCTGCATAAACTATACAGCAAAAGACCTGCATATATGAATGCTTTGGAGTTCATTTCAAACTGTTGTATAATTTTGATGAATGAATACTGACGCCATCTGTTGTGGCCTTCTCAGCTGTAAGGATGGAATACGTTCCTACTCCTGCCTGTGTGAATCCGGATGGACTGGCAGCAGATGTGAAACAAACATCGACGTGAGTTGAGCTTAATTAATAAACCCACTGGGTGTTCTAGAGGAGTGTCAGGAGAATTTTGTAATCTTTGTGCGGTATCACTAACTCTATTGATTTTTTTTTCTACAAGATAAGTCATTTGAACTACCAGGATCATGTAAGCATTGTACAAACACCTGATTAAAAGAAATTGCTTAGTCTAATTGATTTAAACCACAGCTTGTGCTGGACTCTAGAGATAAAACACTGAGTTGCTTACAAAGTCTTTGTGAGCATTTAGTTGAATGGATAATCTGCTTTTTGACTACTAGCAATTCATTCTCATCCAAAGTTGTATTTTTCTTCTTTTCTTTAACCACACATATGTATTGCAGATGGTTGTATCTGTCAAATATTTAGCATTAGTAGTACATGGCCTCACTCTTGTAAATGATTGATGTCTTTTCATTTTCAGGACTGTGCTTCCAGCCCCTGTCTGAATGGAGGCTCGTGTGTGGACCTCACTGATAAATATGCATGCTTCTGTCAGGACGGTTACACGGGGAAAACCTGTGAGACTGATGTAGACGTCTGCAAACAGGCCGCTGTTAATGTCTCGCTGTGTTTCAATGGAGCCACCTGCCTTGACGGTGAAGGATCAAACTTTACATGCATGTGAGTCGGTCCACCGTCAGACGTCTTTTATTGTTTTGATGTAATGATACTGAAAGATTGTCCCTGGATGGAGTGATAGTAATACGAGTTGATTGGAACAACATCCGTTGCTGAGTGGACAAATAATAGTTTAAATCTGTGTGTTTAAATGCCCTTTACATTGTCAGGCATAGGAAAAGGATACATAGGACATTAAAAAGAAGGTGAATTCTTTATTATTCAAGTATGTTTTTACATAAACAGGAAATTTGACTTCTGCATTTAACCCGTCTGTGAGTAGTGAACACACACTCAGACATTAGGAGCAGTGAGCACACAAACCTGGAGCAGTTGGCAGCCGCACTGCAGCGCTGAGGGAGCAGTTGTGGGGGCTTTGTGTGGGTGTGTGTGTGTGTGTGTGGGGGGGGGGCCTTGCTCAAGGGCACTTCGTATATGGATGTTTAGATAGGGGAAATGGTTGTTCATCCGCTGCCCCCACCCATCCTTCTTTCTGCTGTTCCAGGGATTCGGCCCCCGTGACCTTTCGGTCCCAAACCCTCTTCTCTAACCTTTAGGCCACAGCTGCCCCAAAACTGTCATGATAGGCCTGGCAAGCTTTTGATTTCTCCACACACTAGGGCAGTGTACATGGAGCTGTGCTCAGAGCTACGGTACACTTAGCATTTAACTTAACTAACTGGCTAAAAATACACTCCATATATAAAGAAGTTGGAAGGTGGTCTTTTTTTAGCCTTTCCAAAGCTGCCAACAGCCAAAGTGCAAGGACTGGATTAAACAGTGTTCTCATCTACTCTCATGTGATCAGCGGTGTTATGTTAACACATATTTCTTTCCAACAGCTTTCATTTCAAATCGAATTGTTCTCGTCTCTAATTAAAAATGCATCCCGTCTCGCAAGAATGTTGCTACACTCTAGCTGTTTACTCCTATATACAGTAGCAGTCCTCCAGGTTGGTTGCGAGTGAATCATTACTTTTTAATTGCTGACATGCTCTCCCTTGAGTGATGAAGTGTATCTGAATACAAGGTGTACGTAGTAAGAGTGTGCAGATCTGACACAGCAGCTCCCTGGATTCCTTGTAGTTAATTACACTGTCTAACCTTGTGCTGATGTGCTGCTGTATGCTCAGTGTCATGATTTAACGTATCCCAGACTACCACAACTCCAAATAGGTTGCTGCTCTTTATAGTGTTATACACTGTATTGATGCATAGGACTCTGTGCTGCCTCAGCTAAGCATTTTTTTTTTTCTGATGTCCCCCTCACTGTAGGCTTATTTGTATATATATATATATATAACAAGAGGGCAATATACTGTATATTGTGTGCACTAAGGACAGAGTTGTATACACACACTCTGTAGTTATTAATGTCCTTTACGGTCCTGCTGATCTGCAATAGGGTGATTGTGCATTGAGTGCACTTCCCACCACAACAGAGGTTTTATTTGTTTTTGTTTTTTTGCTGAATTTCAATAAGATTTAGACATAATATAAAAAAATTTGTTGCACTATTAGTTATATTAGTGCAATATTAACTGGTTATTGGCCCAATTTTGGACTCATTTGCAAATTAAAGAGTTTGAGTAATATATGGAAAGCTAACATTTTGCCATTCTCCTGTGTGGATACATGTGTGTAGAAATACACATTTTACACTACCAGAAAACATTAATACTTAGCTGCTGTCCATTGCTAGTCTTTGTAGTGTTAGGTAAAAGATTTGTTGGTGAATTTCTGGGTGACAGAAGGTTCCAGTATTTTATTTATATTCACAACATGGACTATGACTTCACATGAACAGATTTTTTTTTTTTTTTTTTTTTTTTTTTTTTTTTTTTTTGAGGCAGGCACATCTTTGTTCCACTTGGATGGAGAACGGTCTGGTCAGGCTAGTACACGGACTAATGGGCTAAAATATAGAATCACTCATGCAATATTTTCTTGGCCAAACTACATCCACAACACTTGAAATACAGAGTGTTGTTTTATCTGCATGTCGTTTGTGAAGTGGTGCACATTCAGTTCTGCACCTGTTCAGCAAATGGCCTCAAAAGCACTCCATTCTCTCACCACGTTGGTGGTCAGCCAGCAGGTCATGCATGAAACCTTTGTTGATGTTGTAGTGTCACAGGATTAAATCAACTGTGCCTCACAGATCTATAGGTTACAGCAGAAGTCAGAGGAATTTCAGCCTCATGAATATAACAAGAGTTTGTTAGCATTTACTGAAGCAGAATGGGTTTTTATTTTTTTTTTTTTTGGCCTTTTTTTTTTGTTTGCTTTTTTGAGAATTTCCCTTTTGTCATTCCTGTTGTGCATGTGTCACTTTTTCTGTTTATCAAATTTTCCTGAAGATGTTCAGTGAGTTTGAGATCTGGTGACTGTGAACTGAAAGCCCATGCAAGACAGCTGAGCCTGGGCATCCATAGCCTCAGGTAGCTTTGATGCTTAATCAGGCTCATTGTCCATCTGGAAAATGATTGCTCTTCTACAAAACTTAAAGCCAGTGGGAATGACATCTGCGGAATCGAATGGTGCCTCTCTTTGCTCAGGGTGCATCTTATCCTGTGCAAATCGCTGGCTCCTCGACAGAAAACCACTGCCATGCCTAAGTATTCCCACTTTGTTTACCTGTGGGTTTTGTGTATGGCTGAATTAATCCATTCTGTTTATCTTCCCCTCAAATAAGGTCTGTGAAGTTTGTGAACTGTTTACGTATTGTTTGTTTTGCTGGATCAGTTTTTCATCAAAAAAATTAATTAGCAGTAATGACATTAACGCATATAGGGCCGTATTGATTAAGTTTAATGGACTAAACAATCAGGACTCTTAGTTTGAAGGCAGAACCTCATCTAATGAGATCACACACTTCATTCAGGTGGTATGAAAATGTGCTGTTAATGCCAGAACTCCAAAGAACTACACCATGAATGCATTACTGTTTTATTTTGTGGATTTGTTATGAATATTTTTTTATGAATAGACTAATTGTTGAGATATAGAATGCTGTAATTGAAGCCAGGAGTATTATACAAATATACAAATCCAACAGTTCATACACGTATATTGATGAAGGAGGTGGAAAATACACAGTTGAACAAAACAGAAAGTGGGCCACTACAGTATAATGTTGAAATACAATATTTGCAAACAAAGAATGGGAGTCACTTGATAATAAAGTCAATAAAGTTAAGTTACTTCATATAAATCCAACATTAAGTCCGGGTAACATCATGTTACTAAAGGTCTATTGTAAAATTTTACAGTCTTGATGATGTCACTGCAAAGTCATTACACAGTACCACATCATTTTAATGTCCCTGCAAACCCATTTTAAAAATCATACAGCGCTTGTGGAAAAGCATTGCCTCTTCTAAGCATGACAGTATTTGTGAATTCTTACCCTAGCATAATGCTTAATCCTAACACACAAACAAACAGGCTATAAAATTTGTATTTATGTTGTTTCTGTAAAAGCCTTTTTTTCCCCCCACATCCCACATTATGGAAAATGTGAGCTGGTGCATAAACAACCCAATGCAGCTCATCCGTTTTAATTGAACCCTCTTTAGTTTATCACCTGCATTACTGACACATAATGTTGTGTCTTTCAAGTTTCCAAACAAACGCATATATATTTTTTTTTTAATTTGTCATAATATAATTTGAAATAAGAAGCACTGGCTGCCAAAAAATAAAAAAAAAGTTGTACTTTTTGATAAATAATAAAAAACAAGCAGTTCTCGGATACAGTGTGTCAGACCCACAAGAAGGAATTGACAGCGATGTGAGACAGCTTCACAGTTTTAAAGTATGATATGTTTTCTGTTTCAGCTGTCCACCAGGATTCATGGGGGATTTCTGTGAAGTGGATGTTAACGAATGTTGCTCAGCGCCCTGCCACAACGGTGCCATTTGCCAAGATCTTATTAATAGCTACGTCTGCCACTGCAGGTCAGGTGAGTCACTCAGACATCCGGTGAGTCTCTCAGTTTACTTTGAAATGAAGTAACCCAAGCAGTTTCTTACCCCCTTTACAAGACCTGTTACAGGAAAACATTGTTTCTCATGAGCGAGATTACTGAAATGAGGCTTACATGGCAGGACACGTTTTGAAGTGGATAAAAGCGCATCACGTTCTTACTGTGCCCCAGATGCAGTGGAGTACGGTTTACCGTATGTAAACCATCTTAATACTTACAGAACGCCCATATTGGATTGAAAGGGGCCATATAAAGTGTTACTAAAGGTTAGCGTAATGCCTACATAACTTCTGTGCCTCAAAGCCATTCAAAAGTCATCCGCTTTTCTCCAGGGAGAAATTTGTAGTCATACAGTACTAAAAACAGACAGTGATAAAAAAGACGATACTGCTTGAGCTCATTAAAATGTATGTGGCATCTTACTCTTTAGTGAAAGCCTTTTCTTGTCTGTGTATGTGTGTGAACCCAAAAAGAAGCAAATCAATGTAGGAGAATCTGATTGATATTCACTTCAGAGGGTGGAAGTGGGAGAGCCTGGGCTCAGCACGGCACTCTGTGGGCTTTTGTTCCTGGCAGGTTGGACAGGCCTTCACTGTGAGGATGACATTAATGAGTGCCTTCCACCGCCCTGCAACCAGGGGATATGCATTCAGAATGATCCAGGCTATGGCTACACCTGTTTCTGTCGTCCTGGATTTGTGGTGAGGCTCCCCACCTTATTCCCCATCTCCTGTCTTTTTTTTTTCCTTTTTTTTTTTCTTCTTCTTCTTAATTAACCTTTACCCTTTTTGCACCCTCAATTCTCAAGTCCTCTCTTGGCACTCATTTCCTGCACTGTTAAAATGTGTGATTTTCTTTTACTTTGTTGTTGCTTATAGTCTAATTATCATTTTTTTTGTTCCCTTTTTGAAGCAGGAAAATCAGATGCCTTTCTCATACCAGGAGATAAATAACAGCACAGCATGGGACATTTTTGTATTTGTTGCTACCACTATTACTGCTTTATATAAACAGTTTACCCCCCTAATAGTTACTTAGGAAAAAAATGATGTTGCACATACAAATACAAAAGCACATGACAATAATCTGAATTTGAATTGTCAGTAATCACATGTCACTTCTTGCATCACGTGGCTGTTAAGTTTTAAAAAATCCTTGTATTTGTCCAATAATGTCACATTCCCTGCTTAATGCCATCTTTAGTATTCAAGCAAAGTAAACATTATATCCCACTTAGCATCTCATCGCACAGTTACAACACATCTAAAGGCTGTTTATTTTACATACACAGGGGAAGAACTGTGAGCACAACTATGATGATTGCCTGTCGAATCCATGTCCAGAAGCATTTTCCTGTGTAGATGGCATCAACAAGGTCAGTTGCCTGCCTCCTGTTACGGATGCTGTTCCCTTGACGACTGTAGTCAAGAACATCACTCGTGGCTCCACACCTAGAGTGCCAACGCCAACACTCATCCCGGTACCAACAGCTGAGCAAACCACAGGTACGGACCACACTGTGCGTGCGTGTCTGTACACGCAGTGGTGAGAAGTACATTTGAGCAATACTGTGCTTTTTGAGGTCCTTGAGTATTTCCATATCAAGCTACATTATGCTTCTACTCCACTACATTTTAGAGGGAATTTATTGTACTTTTAGATAGAATTACTGGATACTTTTCAGAATAAAAAATTTACATTAAATAGAATCCCTCCCCTCTCACGGTTTCATCTAAATAACTGCTTGAGATCCAAAGAAGGGGGTAAAAGTAGAGGGACTAGTTTTACTTTCGATTTTTTTTTTTAAGTACATTTTGTTGATAGCACTTCTGTACTGCACTATAGTCTTGAATGCAGAACTTTTACATGTAATGTAGTATTTGTTGAATTGCTACTTTTCCCTCAGGATCTGAGTACTGCTTCCTCCTCTACATTGATGCTACAGAAGCCTCGAGCTCTCTTTTAAGCAGTTTTAAATGCGGTTTAGCTCAGTTCCTAATTGTTAAAGACGTATGTGCAACTTCAAAGGCCGATGCATGTAATAAGTTTCACTTGTGCTTCAGTTTAAGTTATGGTTCAAGTTTTGTTTCACTTGCCTGTGTGTTCAGGATGGTTGAACATACATTTAATATAAACTTTCTTGTATGAGAAAGGACAAACCTACGTTACGTGATTATGAATAACATTTATGTACGTGTGAAACAGAGTCATGGCTTGTGGAAAGGGAATCACTTTGATGGACAATTATTTAGCTACAAAGATTTACACCTATAACCTTAATGATCGATCAGCTCAACTATGGCAGTGTATCATCTTAAATTAATGTTCCTCAATCATGTCATAGCTCCCATTACTATGCTATTACTTCCAATAGCATTACATTATGCGCGCAAGAAAGTGACACTAAATTATGTAAACTGATAAGCCATTATACCAATCAATTTGTTTTGAAGGTGGTCCAGGGATTTTTTTTTTTTTTTTTTTGACAAATTACAAATCTATCCTTCCCTTGTCCTTCCTACCAAACAATTTTGCTGCACAAGTTTTGCTGCCAGTGTTGAATGAGAGGAGGCTCCCACTGAGCTGGTACTGGTCCAAATGTGATTTTAGAGCCTTTGCAACATAGCAGGTGAGGATGTATTAGGTTTGATTGAGAGATTGTCATAGTTTGTGCAGCTGCAGAGGGGAAAAAAAAAAGAATCCTAATAAAATCTAGATTTGTATTTACCACTAGATCCCAAAAAGTTATCAGTCCAATTGTTATTTGGGGATATATCCTTTACCACTAAAATGACAGACACAGAACAGAATATGTTGTACATTATTGGTGCTGGGTTCAGTCATCTATGTGAGAGGTTGAATTCAGGGCACTGGGCAGATTGTTACTCCTTGACAGATGAGGTCTGTCTACCTTTGAAACTGTTCACAGAGCTGTAAAACAGACCTATTGAACACAGACGAGCTTGAACCAATTCAGTGCGACACTCTGAAAATCACTGTGGGCAAAACATAATGGAGTCCTCCCCGCTGCACCTGATCCAGCCCTCATCCGGCGCATATTGCATCGGTGTCGCGAGGGTTAAATTCACACACAAGACACCGGTAAAGAAAAAACAAACCCCAGCATCCACGCACCGAAACATCTCTTTACGCTTTTACACGTAAGTGCATAATCAAAATAAATAAGTTTTAAAGTAAGAGGACCCAGAAACATGAGTTTATCTAACTAGGTCACCATCTAAACACATGTAGTGCCCTTGGTGCTGCTTGAAATAGACTCAGACAGTGCTCCTTTAAATCTAAGACTGCTCCACAACCTTTGAAATGTACCAAGTCATTGGGAATTTGATCATAGGGGAGATAGTTAATGTGGTACCGAAAGTAGAGGATTCAATTTCTCAATAGAACATGTGCATTTGGTCAGAATCTTAGACTTTTTTTTTTGTTTTGTTTTTTTTACATCTTGATTTTGATGTAAAAAATAAATTCCGTTCAGCTCAGTAGCAAACTTGTATACCACAGTCGGAGATGATTGTCTTCTGGGATTCTTCTTTTTTTTTTTCTTTTCTTTTCTCCCCCCCCCCCATCACATGCAGTGCTGAGCTCCACAGTATTTTAGCTCTACAGTATGAGAGCTGATGGGAATCTAGAAAGCACAGCTCTGGTGGAGGGAGGCTTACTGGTGCTAAGCCACGATTTGGTTGACTCTCCTTGGAGTGATCACTGCAGCACAGGTGAAGCTGTTATCTTCTGCAGCCACGTGTAGCAGAAATGAAATTACTTAAGCTCCTCAAAAAATCTGCTTGATGAGTAAGGAGTTAGCCAGAGGGTCATTTCAAAACATGTTGTGGGTCAGTCACCTTGTTAACCTCCAGTTTAACATGCTGTTCTGTTTATGTTAGCAGGGTTTTTTTTTTTTTTTTTTTTTTATATATATAGTTTGTTTATAACTGAGATGACAGTAGCTGATTAATGTAACAATTTTGATATATTCAGTGACACAACATTGCTAGTGAGTCATAATGACATTTGCATGATGTGCACAGTTATGCATATTCATGAGGAAAGGGGTGGGCGAGATGGAAAAAAAAAAAAGAAGCAGTGTCTAAATTTGTCGTTTTCAGCTGCAGTTCATGGCCTGTGTGCTCCTGTACAGTTACTGTCAGTGCAGTGTGTTGGAGTAATGTTCATCAGTTATTTTTAAAACCAGGCAACAAAGATATAATTAGACACTCGATTTGGAATAAAAAGCCATATTATATTTAGGATCTGATTCCTCTGTGTATCTCAGCACTGTAACAGAATTCGTCGAAAATCTTCTAACATGACATAGCTGGAATAGAAGACATTTTTCTGCCATTGTGGTGGGTGCAGAATGACCTTTTGCCTTCCCCCCAGGGCTCTGAAATTGCAAGAGTCCAAGAATGTTCCTCAGCAGTATTTTATCTCTGTCCTGTGACAAGTTCAATCAGTCAGTCTATTACCTTACCCAATAAATCAGGGACAAAACAGGACTTACATCCTGGCTTCTTTTTTTTTTTTTTTTTTTAATAAATGGGACATTAAGTCTATATCAATTAAATCTCTCCATCCAAAGTCAGTCCTCATATAAATTGATCTTTATTTCACATTTCCTCCAAATATATTTTTCTAGTGGAATATCTTGTGCTTTAACCTGTCTGACATCCCCACGCAGTCTATGCTGCAACTTTGCGCTTCACCTCCCCATGTTACATTAAATATGACTTATATCCATTTTCTCACCTCTTTTATGGACCTGTATTAAGACTGGTCCTAATTATATCTGATCTGAAAGATTTATATCAAGGAATATTCCCACTGAGACAACTTTCTTTTCTTTTTTTTTTTTTCTATTGAAACTTGGGCACGGTACAGTAACAAACTCCTTGGTCAGCACCAGTAAAAAGTAAAAAAAAAAAAAATACTCAAACCGTGAATAACAGGATATTGAAAAGTGGAAAAAAATAAGATACAGTTTATATTATACAGATTTACAATTCAGATTTAGCCCAGCTAGTTATTTGAGACTTGTGGATGAAAAATCTGGTGTGAGAATGTAAGGTAGTGGTAAAAACAGGAGACCTTTGAAGGAGAGACTATAGCTAACTGCTAATGAGGCATGATACTGCCTCCTGGCAGCAGCCTCAGACTGCATCAAAGACTACATCAGACTAAACAAGGCTTTAAAATTAATGAATAGCTTTGTCTCTGAGGGGTAATTTTCCATCATCAGCATTGGCAAACCCCATTGTCAGGAGTGAAGGAGAAGACAGCACAGCATTGTTGCTGTGTGCATTTATCCTCATTAATTCACAGATCACAGTGGGTCTGCTTCTGATAATTCTTACTTCTTTCTTTTTTTCTTTTTTCTTTTTTTTTCCTCAGGGTATTGGTCGTATAGCTCTCCAGAGAAAATGGGGGTATTTAGGTTAGCTTGTTTGCCAAATGCCCTGAGGGGCCCACTGTCAGATCAAAGGGGGTCTGGCCTATTAGGACTTGACGTGTAACAAATATTGATAAAGGTCTTACTTGCAGCTGCCCGATTAATCATGGAAACAACTTTAAAGGAGCTTTGCCGATTTCTCTAGTGCAATAATATTTTTTTTTTTTTTCCCAGATAAGAACAGACAGAGCATGAGACAGGTGCATCCAGGAATGCTTTTCATTTTAACAGGCTCTCCTGTTTGACTTTTCTGCAACAAATTGCACTACTTCCCTCAAATGAGAAATATATTGAGCATGAGCACTCCTAATGCTCGCCTTCAATTGCAGTCTGAGTCAGTCTTTTAAGTTGGTCTGCGTCACTACCCCCAATAAGCTGGCGGGCAGTGGAACTTTTACTGAAATACCCCATAATTGCCCATTCTCATGGATGATATAAACCAAGTTATTCCACTATAAAATGAGGCATGTAATAAACTTGTATGAATACGTTCATTTCAGCCAAGACCCCTCTCACGGCTTATATAGTGCCATTTGCATGCTTCACAGCTTTTTGGCAAATAAGAGTATTTACAGTACGCCTGTACAGTGAGCGAAAGGAAAAGCTGTGATGCTAGAGCTCTTCAAGCCTTTTGTTCTGCTTTCAAAATATAATTATTTCCTTTTTGCTTCTGTTTTCCCAACAATAAATCTCTCTGCGCTGTGCACTAGTCTCTGTAAGCTGTAGTCCATCTATGTTGCCAAGGTTATTAGATGGATACAGGTCAAATTTACATTTTTATCCAGCAACATAAAGAAGTGTGTGCAACCGCAGGCTAACAAAACCAGAAGTTCCACATTCAAGCCTCTGTGGTAACAAGCATCTGCCCTGCTGAGGTGTCCTGAGCCAAAGTCTGAATCTTTAATAATTTCTGAAGGTGCTGGTCTGTATCGCATTCTGTGCAACGACCTCCCCATAGAGGAAGTGAATGAAAAGTTGAAATTCTTCTTTCAGGGATCAATAGAGAATCTCAGCAGAGTTTACAGTAAAGATGCATAAACTACAGTCTGTCTCACTTTTATTTACTCCCCCCCCCCCCCCCCACTTCAGCTCTCTATATATTTTTATTTCCTAGATTCAAGCTACATTCAGTACTTTGGGAATTCATACCTTGAGTTTAAGGGTATTGACCTCAGCGCACTCAACAACATTACTGTCAGATTCCAGACCCAAGTGGCCCAGGGAACTATATTTTATGTGGACCAAGGACCTGCTAATGGTGATTTCTTTTTCATGAAACTCCTCATCTTGGATGGAATCTTACAGGTAAAGCTTCAGCGAAATAGTTATTATTCATGATTGTTTGCTAGAGTTATAGTAACTGCATGAATAAAATACTCTGTTTGCCTATGAAATTCTGCTGATGCCTGAATTTGAAACTTTCTATCAAATATTTCAGTACGCCTTTTGCTGCAATGAGGAGGAAGAGATCACACGGATCAGTACATTGATTCGTGTTGATGATGGCATGGTTCACATTGCTAATATCAGGTATGTTCCTTTTGGTATTCATTTAACCTTGTGAGTCTGAGATTGTGAATGTTCAGATCTGTGTTGTGGTCAATTCATATCCAGCTTCTTTGTAGAAAAAGAAACACTCAAGCAATGCGAGAGAAAAAAAAAAGAAAAGCAAATGAGTTACAATTTCCTTATGCACCTATTTAATTTACGAAATGTGTTAACATAGACATCAACCCGGATGCAGTGTGTAATGTATGTGCTTCAGGCAAGGATGTATTTCTTATTGAGGAAAAAAGAGGCACATTCACAATCATAAGCTACTTAAAGTAGGTCTTAATAATATACAAATTTTGTTCAAATACTGTTCGTACCTCAGGTGGTATTAACTTGATCCTTAGTTATCCGCTCATTTCAAGTGTGGCACAATTTATTTTATAGAAGGGCTATAACTAATACCGGGGGAGCACATGTAATTGGCAGGAATCACCAGACTGAGAATTTAGATTTTATTACAAATGGGCAAATGGGCTTACATTTTAAAGAACTAAAACAAACGTCAGAATGTGCCTATTAAAATGCATTAGTGATCACTGACCATGTTTTATTGGCTGTTCTAAAGTCTTCATTTGCAGTTTTTCATTACGAAAAGATTAACAAGCAAGAGCTGAGCACAAAATCAATGTTTAAATGATTTAAAGTGAGGCTGTGGCCCCTTTAGTTATATTGTTCCTAAGCCCGTGCGCAATCTTGCTGCCAGCCCTTTCCATTACATTCTGACATGAGAAAGATTGTGGTTTGGTTTTGAGATACAAAGTTTATTATGTATGAGCTGGAAACTGAAATAAAGCAGCTAATGTTCTACTCGTATCAAATCAATTTACTTTGTATTTAGGGGGAGAGTATGGAGACTTTTTAACATTGCACAAAGAGGACGTTTCATCTTTTTTGTAGCACACGTTCTGTTTGGGCGAAGATAATAATACACTAATCTTAAAAGATAATATTGAAAGGCTGAGACAGATGTAAATAAAGGTTTTGTGAAGGTGAAATCTTAAAAGAGATGAATGCAGATAGAAGGTAAGGTACTGAAGGTGATAATGAAGATACCGTGCCAAAGGTGAGCAAATTATTTATTAATATTTTTGTCGAAACAAAGCTGACTGGGTAGGTTGCTTGGCAGAAAGCTGCATTGCCCTAAATATGCAAGTGCAACCAGAAAGTCCAATCAGGTTTAAGGGGATACAAGGCTCCACCCCTGTTTTTTTTTGTTTTTTTTTTCCTGCAAGAAAAATAATACAGCAGTATGAATCAATCATAATGTTCTGTACCAACCCCTTGGAGACATTGCAAGAAAGAGAGCTGTCATAAGTAGAGCGTTGGTAGTATGGAAAAATGGTTTCTGGTGTCACAAAGCAAATTCTTTGTAATTGTCTGATGGCCGAGTCCGTCCATCTTTGTCTGATTTGACCCAGAGCTACAACACCATGGCCATCCTCAACGTCACTGCCTACCTCATTATAGACTTTTAATATATCTTCCCGTCAAAGACACTTTTCAATATGTTAAATAGAAACCCAGTGGGGCTGACTTCTCAAGGACAGTGAGCACAGTGCCCTCTGGCTGCTGGCCAGGCCGCTCTGGCAGACTGCTTCTAAATTAACCGCTTCTCCACGCTGGCTCTAGAGGAAGGACTTATGCAGCTCGGAGTTAGTGCCCCGAGTGTTTAGCCGGCATATGCAACAGCCTGCAAAGTACAGGCTTAACAAATCAGACTTGATTGCTTCACGGACCTCCTAACTTCCACTCGGGGAACAAGGGGTATCAGGAGACAGTGGAGAGGAGACTGTGCATCTGTGGCCCGAGTACCCTCAAGCTGCAGATGGTTAGTCCAGAATCTGCACTTAGGTAATTATCTGCTCTCCCTTGTTGTCTCAAAATGGAGAATTGGTTTTTGAAATCTATGAATGGCTGTGGGGTTGGTCCAAAATAGTTGTGTCAAAGGCTCATAAGACATTGGGAGAAAACAAAATGGAGTTCGGCAGCGGCAGCACAGAAAAGGATTGTGATAAATGTGTGCATCAGCAGACTAAACAAAACAATTACACACATTTACCACAGGTTTTAAATCTCGACATCCGATAATTCGCTCTGCTCTCTCAGGCATCTATTAGCAAGATGGCCAAATGCTAATTTATAACTAGAGGCATGCGTTGTTTTTAATGTCAGAACATATATTGAAATTAATGATTTAATGTTATCTGCAAGAGGAAGTTGTCAGTCTCAATTGCAGCACTTCATTTAGAGCTGCATTATACTGAAGCTGCAGTAATAGTTTTGTTTGAAGTTGTTCTTTCAGCCATAGAAAACACTTCTTTTGTTTAAACTTTTGGTGTCATATAATTCATAACGTCAGGGGAAAACTTAAAATAGTTTTTTCTTATCAAGGCCATTACAGCCTCTGTCTGTTTAACTCATAGGAATATATAGACCTTTATTGTGAAATTGTCACAGGTTTCTAAAGAGAAAGAATTGAGATGTGTATGCTTGTGTGAAAATGATAACTGTAAGACCCCTTGGACCAACACATCTCTTCTCTTAACACCAAAATGACGTAACATGTTGGAAACATTTAATTTAAACCGCAAGGGTTCACACTTTTTCACAGGCAGCACCTGACCCCTTGTGAAGCAGAGCTAACTCTCTCCGGTCATGAGAAAATCAAAAGCTCCGCAAGTAATTACTGGTTGGGACACATGATACAAAGCACAAACCACATCTTCACAGGAGGTCTGCCACAACAATACCTACCCAGTCAGGTAAGACTTACAAGAGCTGTTTGGTTTCTCTTCTACCTGCTGAAATCATAAGGTTGTGAAAGACATAAAACTCACATGAATGTTACATGATATATGCCTAAAATTGCATCATGATAAAAACAAATGAATTGTCTAATTAATTTTTTTTTTTTTTTTTTTTTTTTTTTCCCCCATTAGAAAGCGAAACCTTTCCACAACTATACTGGCTGCATTGAAATAATTGAAATGAATAACCTGAGGAGCTTTTACACATCTGATGCCATCGATGGCAGAAACATTGACCAATGCAGGTAAAAAAAAATGAAGGAAAATCGATGGCTTCACCACAATCTTTTCTTTTAATTAAATTTTAATCCTGGCATTTGTTTGTTTTTTTATTACTTAAACATATATACACTCAAAACATAGTCTTTAGTTTTTCTGTGCAAGAAGATGATTGTGTGTTAATATTTTGATAGTTAGACCATTTAGTATGACACAAACACCGGCTGCCACATTTCGCTTTGTCTGATGCTTTGTTGAAAATATGATTACTTATTGTGACAAAATAAGATTGTGTTTCCCTCTCTTCTTTGTATTGTAGTAAAAATCTGTCTACATGTTAAATTACTGCACTTAATGGGTAGTTTTGGTTGCACAGGAATCTAGTTCATGTTTTTATCCTTAAAATCAAATATTTCTTACATTATATTGGATTTAACTTACTCAAACTTTGGTCTCATTTTACAGATATACTTGGCATGTCATTGAAGCCTCCACGACAAGTTCCTCAACTTTGGAAACTCAATCAACCACGCCTGACACCATGAACGCAACGACTGTGGCAGCTCCCACACAAACACCAAAACACCCTGTGTACAAACCTCAGGTCTGCCGCGACGGCGTCTGCCGCAACGGAGGAACATGTCATGAGCTGCAGCTGCCTGGTGGAGCTCTGCCTTCCTGTCACTGCCCGCTTCACTTTACTGGAACTTTTTGTGAGAAAGGTAGGCCTGTAATGTTTTTTTTTTTTGTTTTTAGCTGACAGTGCTTCTCAGTTTTTATACATAATATATAAAACACACACACACATACACACAAGCAGTGAAAAGCTTAAGAACCTACTGTACTGTGACCTCCACAATGGTATCATCAAGAGCCAGCCAACAAGTTATGTTGGTTAATATATGCTGAGCCTCTTTGGCTAATAGGTTTTACTATGAGGCAGAATAGAGTCAGCTGCATTAGGAATTTTGAGTGATGTGAATTATTCAGGATATGATTAATGAAATGAAAGATCCATATAAGCAGCTTGAACCATCGCCGTGTGTCCATGTTCACCTCCAACGCTCGCTGAGAATGAGAATATGACCTTGCAGCACTCGCTCAACATTCAGCTAAAGCTCTCATCCCTGTCCCCACCAAAAATATTTATTTTGTACCAACCACTCCAACACTAGACAGCAGAACTCGACACACATACAAAGAAGTTCTCCCTTTGCAGATTTCTTCTCAGTGCACTTATGATGTAGCTTCTGACGTCTCTTTCTAGCCCTCTTGCCGTGCGTGATATGCCTTGACAGTGAAGAAAACAGGATCCTGTAGTTTGCTATTGTTGTCATTCTGTCAGTGGCAACAGTAGTGACACTAGAGTTGTGAATTAATTGCATGTGTGCTTGATAAAGCAAGCCGAGCTGCTCACAACTGAGAGACGTTTCAGATGCTGTGTTGTGATAGCCATGTTCACTCCACTGCACTCTCACCACAGTATATGATTAATCCTCCAACATGGATGGTCTGTCAAGCTTTAGACTCCTCCACATGCTGGAGTGGTGTAACATGAGCCATTTAAAGTTTGAAGGGTGTTTTTTTTGTTGTTTTTTTTTTATTTCTTTTTTTCATTTTCAGCTTTTCAAAACCAAAAACATGAGAGCAGAAGTATGAGGAGTGGGTTAAACTGTGTTTATGTGTTTGAATCTAAGCTGCAGTTATTAGCATGTCTCGCTAAATTCTACCCACAGTAGTAATAAATTGTTTCTTTCAAGTCCGATGAGCATATCATTACGAACTAGGCTGAGGGGATACAGGTAACAATGAAAAAAAAAAGCCCAGTTCATGAATAGCACATCCACTGTGTAGTTTCTCCCCACAGTGTAGAAGTTGATACTGGACACTATCAGAGTTAATGGTAACGTTAGCAGTTCTATCCTGTTCTTTATTGGATTTGGGTTAGTTTATACTTCAGCCAAAGTTGCCCAGAAAAGCATTATGTTTCACTTAATCTTCATTGTAAAAGCCTTTCCTCTTGTAGAAGTGAAGAAAACAGCTAAAAAGCAGCTAAACAGGGTTTTGTTGTGAAGAAACAAGAGTCTGATCTTACGTTTCTTTTAATCATACTTATAATCTTAGCTCAACGCTACAATAGAAAACGGTTCGTGGCGGTTAAGTGCAGAGATAAGTCGGTTTTACAAATTTGTGTATTAAAAAGAAGTCAGCACAAAACACTTAAAAGATTACCAGGCACAGCGTTTTTCAAAGCAACTCATCAAGTTAATGTTAGCATATCTAATTAGCAAACAACAAAGCGATTGAACAATTGTCATTTCATTCTGCAAAATCCATGGTCGACTATTTTTTATCTTATCTTATGAATGTAATTAAGTGTTTCAATATCAATTTCATGGTAATTTGCCACTGTTATCACTGTAAATACAGTGTATCCCATATGCTGGAATGGAAAGCTTGATGTAGCAACAGTTACTAAGGGGTGAGCAGTCAGTTACCTGTAATATGAAAAAAAAAAAAAAAAGTTATATCATTGCTTATTACAAAAAGGTCCCCCAGGAATTACAGTTGTGAAGGAGCCCTGTGGGTAGGACAATGAATTATCCTGTAGGACTTTTTTCTAGCTTATCAACAATGGTGTGGCTTCCCCCTTTTTCCTCACTTGCCCCCTCAAGTAAAACACACTTCTCTTCCTCTGCAGCTCATATTGTACTGCACTAACAATTCTTTCAGTCACGGGGTTTTAAATAACGAGTTCTGAATAAGAGTGGTCACTAAATGTCATATGTACTGTACATTTTGGGCCTGGGGAATATTTCAAGCAGTGGAAATTCTAATTAGCATTACAAAAGGTTTCAATAATGGAGCCTGGATTGATTTTCACTTCACAACCCTTGTGTATGATCTAGGCTGTTTGCGTAATCTTGTATTTACAGAATACACGGACATCAGACAGAATACCGCTCAAAGCTAATCGTTAACAGTCGTTAACATGGCACGAGTAGCCCTCGTGCACCTGACACCCTTGCTTGACACCTCTGCCATGTGTTTCTAAAAATGCTAATTTACAGGTGTTTAAGTAACCTACTGAAATGTTATTTGTCTCTCCAGGCACTGTAACAAAAATGATGCTATTTATAAGGCTTCACTCTCATTTGTTTTTCCCATGGGAAACGGATACGTCGTGGACAAGGTGCCTCCCCTCCGCTTACATGACAGTGATGCTGCTTTGCTAAACCAGTTACTAAACATGCTTTGACCAACTTCTAAACAGCCGGTGGAGTATATCGAATATGATCTGTTTATTGATTCATTCACTCATTTATTCATTCATTTGTTTCTCACCATTGTAGCGTTCAGGTTCAGAGAAGGATATTTTACTAGCGTGCCAGAAATGATCATCGCATGTGACTGCAGCACATTAGACAGTTGCATGAATGTATTGCTTGTGTGGCAATATGTGTGAGCTTAGTGCTAACCTTACTAACTGAAAATTAACCCAAAGCTGCAGTGTAACCTACATGATTTTTTTTAATACAGTAAATTCCCGCTGCCATTCATACCTGTAAAATGAATCAGATGTTATGCTTGATTTGATAATATATTTACTTTTTTTTCAATCAGTCATAAAAACATGGGATTTACCCTCAGCCTTTTCCTTCCCTGACCATAAAAGTAAGTTCCTGCTTATCCCTCAACTTGTCACACTCATAAAGTAGTGGCCTTTTAGAGTCGTTTTTGCTGAGTTTGAGAAATTGCTCCTCCTCAAAAGCAGTTCAGTCCCTCAGGTTCAACAGAGTGCAATCTCATATGATCACTCATCCAGTCACGTGCTTTGCAGCACTAGCTCTGATAGCCCGCAGACAGAGTCCAGAGGCTGTTTACATGCTGACAAAGTCTGTGAATGTGTATTGCTACGGCAACTCTGCTGGGTGACAACCTTGTCCGCACATCTTGTTGAATTAACTAACAGCCACAAGAGAAGTATAAGGCAAGTCACCCCCTGTGCTTTGCTAATTATAGATATGTCTTCCTACCCAGTGACTAATGATGTGGAGTTGTTTGTGTCCTAGATGAAGTGCTGACATGTCATACAGCATGTATCTAAGATAAAACTTCGGTTGTGCATTTGTCTCTGCAGCTATTTATATTCCTGTCTAATCTGTTACTGATATAATTGGTTAGTAATATGTTTTCTAATCTAGTCTATTATTTATCACTAGATATGTAATGAAGAAGATACAAAGGAACAATTAAAGGCTTTAATATCTTTACAAGATATGATATCCTCTATCCTTAGATCCGTGGATCAGATTAGGAAAAAGTCCTACTTGTCAACTGATATACAAGTATTCGAGTGTTTTGAATTCCAGTACTATGAAAGTGCACACAGCCAATAGAGATGAACATTGTTACACAAAGAGAAAATGCAACAGATGTAATGTGTACAGGGTGTATAAGCTAATTTGTAGCCTCCACCCCTGGATAGGCTTTAACATGAAGGTTAGAACAACTAAATCAATAACATTTGTTCAGGACTGTGCACATGTAGTAGTTAAATGAGACTACTGAAAAGTACTTTTACTGAAGTACTATACTTAAGTAAATTTTTAGGTACTTGTACTTGACTGCAGTATTTCCATTTCATGCTACTTAATGCTTTGACTCCACCACATCTCCCACTACATTATATCATACAATTTCTTTCCAGATGAAGATTTTTCATGTCAAACATATGAGGATTATCATGAAATATTATGAACTGCTATAATTTAAACTACTGCTGTCTAAGTAAAGGATTTGAGCACTCATTCCAATACCTAGTGTATAAACTATAAATGAACAGTGGATCCTATATTAGCTAGTCAGTGCTGGATTTAAGACTCCAATAGGGATTGGAACTATTAGCATTTTCATATCCAGCAAAGCTTCAAACTTCCCTAAAATGTCAGGTGTCATACTGTCCAATATATTACTGGGAAAAATCTACACACACTTCTGAGGTAGTATTACACACAGAATGTCTGCACACATCTGATATATCATAATATCAACTGAATGATTATAGTGATATAGTTTTTTTTAGCCCATGAAAGCTATCAATCCAAAACTTTCAGACTTACTACTCAGTCAGATAGAGTAGGTATCTTATGCGCAACCTGTACATAAGAAGCTTGACATGTGTGAGCTGCGAGTCTTGCGCTTTTTATCTTTGGACCCTGGGGATGCACCTCTGGTAGGGTAGACCGTAATCCAGGCCAGTACCTGGTGGTTCAGTGAGTATTTGATATCAAGTAGCCAACCATAAGACAGGTTTTGTCAAGATAAAGCCAGTTCATCTGGGCATGTCAGAGTTTTAAGCTATGATAAATTGTCTCTTCAAAGAAGACACAGTAGGTCGGGGACCTTGCCAATGACATTCTGTCAAGTATGTAAGCATTCAATGGAAAGCTAAGTGATCACAAAAATTAGTTATGGAGTAAATGGCTGCAAGGTAAGGAAGTAGGCATAAAAGACGAAACCAGTGAGGCAGGAAATTATTCAGACTTGGTCGGTATTGATCATGACCTCCTTCTATGGCTCATTACCTTATGTCCTTATTTCTAGTATATTTGAAGCTGTGATGTAGGATTTTGGCCAGAAAGGAATAATAAAAGGAAAGTTGAGAGCACAGTTTTCCCCCTTTATGTCTTTTCAACAACTTTTACCAAAAATTAATAAAAATAAGATTGTGCAATCTTTTTTCTCATTTAAAGTGCCATTTTAATTTGGTGTAGCCTAGTTCAAAACATTTGCAAATTAGTTGTTTCCAAGTTCTCTTTTTGATATTTTTCCTTTACTTTCTCCAATCTAATCTAATAATACATATATGTAAGTTTTTGCTTTTGCTTTATAGCCAGTTTATTTACCAGTCTAGAAAAAATGTTGCAAATTCAGCATCAAACTTCATTCCTTTACTCACCAAGAGCTGTCTCCAGAGGTGAAAAGCAATGCCAACATTGACTCTTGATGTGCTTCTATTTCTGTCACTTTTTCAGAAGTTAGCATGCTAACCAGCTAGCCCCACCTGTCCTGTCTTGTAATATCAGTTTGCAATAGTGAGCATGAGACAGTGAAGAAGTAGTGCTAATCAGGGGGCGTATCTTGTCTTGTAAGTGCAATGATGACTGAAGCTCCTGAAAACCTAATATAGCACCATTAAACAATATAAGTACATTTTAATTTGTGTATTCATAACAATATCCAACAGCAAAATGACAACACAAAGCATTTGATTGACTGTGATTAACTTTGATTTGTGATTTGTTGTGAAATATACATTGTAGGAAATATTCTTTCAAAGTTGAGGACCAGAGGGAATCTTTTCTGTAGTGAGGAGAAATAACAAATATTTCTTTAAAAAGCAAACAGAAAAAGACAGTTTAGGGTGGTGAGCCTGTCTGTTTTTGTGTTTGACATTAATGGGATGAGAGTTTGTCGGCTTCCTGCTTTGCAAGCACACTGGCTAGGTGCTGCCAGCTCTTTTTGTGGGCATCTAGTGTGTGTTTGCTGTAATTGCTGGTGCCTTTAAAAATGAGCCAGCTCAATCTGCCTTACTCACAAATTGCCAGCAAACATTACAGGATTGATTCATCATTTTCAGCCCAAGGAAACTGCTTCATCCACAACAAAAAGAAACACAGTTTTTATTTTCTCTTTGTAATTTAAAGTATTGGCTGTCATGTCTGCTCCACATACAGTAGAGCGTGATTCTCTGGGCAACTCGGAGGAGTTGAGAAAAGAGCAAGAGTGGGAAATTGTACGCAGGTGAAGATAACACGATTATGACCATTTGACAAATGGTATGACTAGAAACCCTTCTTGTTTGTTGGTCTGGTGACTAATCATAAAACACGAGCATGTCAGTGTCTTACTGCGGCCCAGGCCACTGAGCAGTCCTTACCGCCAAACCCTTCAATTCAACTTGCTGATATTTTCACTTGGTATATAACTCGGTTCCTTTTCAAAGCATCGTTAAGGCCATTTATGTGATAGCCTGTTGAAAAGAATGACTAATACCCACGAATTGCATTATCCCTGTTGCCACAAATAAACCCACTAATACTGCTCTAACTGGGCAAGTGGTGTCTGACTGACTCACCGATCACACAGTCCAAGAGTAAATTATAAAACAGAGCAGCAGCCACTTTCTCCTATCCACGTTGACTCACCAGTAGAAGGCAATAACACACGGGATGGATGATGATGAACACAAAAGTGCATTGTTCTTTTGAAGCAGTGCCTTATAATGGTGTGTTCATTTGAGGTTGCACAAATGCCAAAAAGCAGTGAAAGGCGGTAAAATGTTTGTATCCCTGTAGCTGATTTCACATTGGAATAAGCTATAACCTGATTTCACATTATCAGAGGATATGAACTGTACACTGAGTTGTAATATCTACATGTTTTAACATCCAAAACCAGCCACTTGAAGAAGTTCATCCTTGAGTGTAAACGATGCCACTGACTGAACATCATTTTGTCCATTGCCTGTGTGAAGCCACTCATGGAAACTTTAAGACCACTACATATTATGTTATTTGTTTCCATATATCTTATTTCTCAGTATTCTTTATATTGATTTTCTAGATTTACTAGTCTGTTGTAGTATGTTGTTAATCATTCACAGGTCTGCTTTAAAATAACTCTTTGATTTAGAGGAGTCATGAGAAGATGTTCATATTTCTCTTGCAATAAAAATTGTAGTTTTTGAAGCATTACACATACTGTATATTATGAATTCTCCGCTGAGAATAAACTGCACTTTTCCTTGAGAGCTCGACTCTGAAAGTAGAATCCCTCGAGCTGAAGCCGGGGTGGCCTATTTTGAATCGACTGTCAAGCACCTGAACAGCGAGTTATCCGCCAGGTGTACAGTGTCCTTTGTGTAAAAGCTAACAGATCATCACTGGCTTGTGGAGATGATGACCTGGGTGGGTACCTCCTCCACCTCTCCTTAAAGTCGTACCCCTTTGTCATCCAGTGCTGAATAACACACTAGCACGTAGCCCTGACTGGGCCGTGCTGACTCCGCTCTCATGCACCTTACCAATGCTGCAGAGGCAGACACCAGCCAGTTCCTGCTGTTCTCTTTATACTGACAAAAGTATTATCTAGCCTTCATTTAAATAAAAGTGTAATTGTATTACATGATCAAGTACAATTGCGTAGAAATGTTCTAATTGGAGTCACTTTTCACATCATTTAAATGCATTTCATCAATTTGTGTTGTTCTTCTTATTGTAAATCTCCAGATACAACAGTATACATCCCCTCATTTGATGGCACATCTTATTTGGAGCTTCAGCCGCTTGCATTCCTTCTCCAGCCTTCTCTACCTGCTGCTGTCAAGGACACCACTGTTACTCTCTATTTGACAGTGAAAACAAGATCTGCACAGGGCACCATCCTCCACAGTGAGTACAATCTCTTCTTATTGCAAACGTTTAAAAGCACCCCAGCACTGTGAAAGCAAGTATAGATAAAGGCTGGAAAAAATATTCATATCTATACTTCTGTGCCCATTATGTTTTCTTATGGCCTTTTCCTTATGCATGTCCTTGTAAGTGCACAAGGGCTGTCATATTTTTTTTTTTATGGCATACAGTGCAAGCTATCATCTCCTAGTGCTTTAAATAATGATGTTTTTAGTGGCTAATATGTTGCTGCTGTGCCGTGTAAGAAGGATAAATGTGCATTTTAAAGAGGATTCTTGTCGGTATCTGCCATACTACAGACGTACAGTAGATTATACTGCGGAAGCTGTTTTAAAAGGTCCAACTATACTAGACTAATCTAAATCCTCTCTGGACCACATAAATGTGCAAAATATTTAAAGGGCAAAAAAAAAAAATTCTAAGCTGGCAATATCACTTTCATACAACATATTGAAAATATCCGAGTTGTACCTTTTTAATAAGAAGGTAATCCAGGCATTAGTGTAAATATTGATAAGCTGGAAATGCTCTGAGCTCCAATACCAGCCACTAAAGGTCACCATAGAAGACACCTGTGAACATGATGCATCATATTTTCTTTTATCAAACACGTTAATGTAAAGGAGTAATTCAGCATTTTCTGGTATTTGCTTTTTTGCCAGGAGAAGACTGATACCACTCTTATGTCAGCATGGTAAATATGAAACTACTGCCAGTTAGCTCATCTAAGCATAAAGACAGGTTCTGCTAGCTTTTATGGGGGGGGGGGGGGGGGGGGGGGGGGGGGGGGGGGTTTTTTTTTTTTGTATGCCGGAGCAGTGTTTTGGCAGGCCAGCAACGGACGACCCAGGCCAGCTGTCTCCAGTCTTTATGCTTAGCTAAGCTAACCAACTGCTGCCTGTATAGCTTCAAATTCGCCGTACAGACATGATCAATGTTCTCATCTCTTATTTCTTGACAAGAAAATAAATAAGCCTATTTCCCAAAATGTCAAACTATTATATATAATATTTGTTATTATCTGTGGATTAATGTTTTCAAAAATGTCCCTTCAACAAACTGTGATTGATTGGCGAAACAGATGCTCTGATCAAGATACTTTCAGTGCAGCTACAGTTGAATTTACTCGCAGAAAACAAATCTGTGCTGTAAAGCATTGTTGTGATGCAAGTCCCTCAGAAGATAAGGGCTGGTCTGTACTTTATAATGCTGTCTAGACATGTTATGAATAAGTAACATTTTCTTAACTGGAAAACTTGCCCTCTTGTAGCTGTTGTGCTTGTTATCCCTATTATTATTGCTCTAAACGTCCTCTGTTTTCAGCTCACTAATAATGCAGTAATGATACGTCACTGTGTGCTGTGTTCATCAGCGGCTAATTACATTGAGATGTTGAAAATATAAAACTGTTTCTGAGTGCTAAGAAAAAATAACAAAACACTGAATGAATAAAAAAAAAAATTATATTAATAAATATAATATAATAAATATTATAAATGTTAATTATCACTGAAGTGATATAAAGATGTTACACGAGCTGTAACCTAAAAGCAAACAAAGGGATGCTCAACTGAAGGCAAGAGCTGGGCGCTCACGTGGGGAGCGAGGACCGGGCTGACCCATTACATCAACCGTGAGCTCCACATTGTACGTCTGCCTCCTGCCTCTTTTGTTCCCACACCTGCACACACACACTCCCCTTTGTTACAGAAGGAGATTTGGATAGGTAGGCCAGGCAGCCACAGAGAAGACCCTCCATAACAATAGAGCATTGTTTTTTGAGGAGAGAGAGTCTGTAGATTTGTGGTATTTTTTTTTTTTTTTTTTTTTAGGGGCTGAAAAAGCTGAGCCATGAGAACTTTGTTCCATTTATCCAGCTTTATGAGTATTATATGTCTGTTCAAAATATGTATGCATATGTTAAAGTAGTGGTACCAGACGGCTGAGGGGTCAAGCCACTGCATGAATGCCTTGAGCTGTGGGTCCTCGATGATCAGACTGTGTGTCTCTGTGGACCGCCACTGCAGCTCCTCGCTCTAAAAAACTGCAGCCACCTTGATCTTGTGACGCTATTGCTGTCTCCTTGTGACACCGCAGCAACAACACGCATTGTGTGATGACCACAAGGCAATTCAGTCTGCCCAGTATAGACGGCAGGGACGTCACAACATTCAGGTTTCTGGTGTGACTCAGGTCAACCCCCTTATCTGTGGAATTGTCTAAAGGTTCGTGGCCTCTCATTTACATTTGCAGAGCTATTACACATTGCAGTACACCGCGGCGTTCACCCACACTTCCTCTCCTTTGATCAAAATGTGGATTTTCTGGCTCCAGTAACTGACAAAGTCTGGTGGTGAGCAGTAAGCTCGAATCTAGGTATAAAATACCCCTTACAAAAACCAAAAACATGCGATGATAGTGCGTGCAATTACAAGCAATTTCATTTTAATTCGTGGGATATAATGCTTATATAATATAATGAAGTAGGAAGAGCTGACCAAAAATAATTCTTCTCTGTTTGTAGATGCCATAAAAGTTAACTTAAAAGTTTTTGGTAGTCTTACTATAAAACTGTCTTGTGTTCCTTAGAGAAATAATAGCTTGACTTTTCTGTCTCCGAGATGACATTGGCCTCCCATGATGGCTAGTGTTCCACCAAAGACTTAAATCTTTGTATTTAAGTAGCTATTAATTAGTCAGCTCCCAGGCTCTAAATTAGTGCTTTTTATAAGGTTGGTGCACTTGAAAGGTCGACCAGCTAAGCCTGAAATATACAGACGAGTGACCAATTAGAGGAAAAACCAACACAAAGTGTCTTAGTGAGGTGTTGGGCCACCACAAGCTGCCAGAACAGCTTCAATGCACCTTGACATTGATACTGAAGTCTCTGAACTCTACTGGAGGGATGAACACCGTTCTTCCAAAAAATACTCCCTCATTAGGTGTTTTGATGATGGTGGTGGAGAGCTAGTGTCTGACACGTGGGTCCAAAAATCTCCCATAGATATTCAACTGGGTTGTGACCTGGTGAATGTGAAGGCCATAGCACATGATTCACATCATTTTCATCAGTGACCCCTTGTGCCCTATGGATGGGTGGCATAGTCGTCCTGGAAGAGACCACTCCCATCGGATAGAAATGTCTCAAAGGTGACGACTCAGAACAACGTTGTATTGATTTGCAGTGACCCTTCCCTCAAGTGGACTCAAACCAAACCAGCAAAATGTCCCTCACAGCATAACAGAGCCACCGGATCCCCTCACTGTAGGGATCAAGCATTCAGGCCTGTATCATTCTGTTGGTGTACGCCACACGTGCAGTCACCCACTTGTGGAGAAGATGGCGAAGGATGACTCACCTGACCATATCGTCTCCCCCCCCCCTCCCCCCCCCCACATCTTCCAGCTTCCAACATATCATTATCTTTGTAATAAGGGGTTTATGCACTGCAACCCTACTATAATTTCCCTCACTATGTAATTGTTGCCAGACTGTTCTTACTGACACGGTCTGATCACATGCTGCATTGACGTTCTCAGACACCTTTTGTTTTCACTTACATACCGCACTAACGCATGAGCATCACGGTCGTCAAATGTGCGCCGTCGACCACAATTTCCAACACTATTCACTGAGGTCTGTCCCACAGAGCTGAATGCAGATGTCACTTTAGTCACTGTTCCTATTGAAACACTGAGCCAGTTGAGCAGTCTTTGTAACTGAATCTCCTGCCATCCATGGCCCAACAATGAACCCTCCTTCAGAGTCCCTTAGATCTTTCCCTCTTGCCATCTTGATACAAAATCAGAACCATCCGGGCCTGCCCAGCATTTTCATACATCCATACAGGATGTTAACTGTGTATTTGTACCATGCAGCCTTTGTGGCCTTTGTGTGTGCATTTGTTATGTTATTTTATGTTATAAATTCTAAAATGTTCCCAATTCTTAAAAGATACAGTGTGTGTGTGTGTGTGTGTGTGTGTGTATTTGCGCGTGTGTGCGTGTGTGTGTGTGTGTTTGCACCAATCATTTGTTGTTGAATTCAGTGGTTTGAGTGTTGTAATAATTCTTCACATTCAATAATTATTTGAAACTGTCAAATGATAGTTTTGAGAAGAGAGGAGCAGAATAATTGCAAAGCAAAGCTTTTAGTACACTACCCTATTTTTGAATTACTGTTTGTTTTGGGATGTTTTTGGGAAAAAACAGCAAATTACATGAACAAACAGAATCCAGCTGTAGGGAGCTCAGGGTTGCTTTTCACTCATGACAGAAGGCTCTTCAGTAATTGACTATACCTGGATACTTTTACTATTGTCCAAAGCTATGCGCCTTACATGAAAGATATTTATAGACTTACAGAAGAAGCACAGACATCAGTATATATCTGTAATAGAAATATGTTTTGTATCATTATGTCTTGATTTAATTTGAATAGGGAAAATAAAAATCGGTTTGAATTAAATTTTGATTAAAAAAAAAAAATAGACAAATAAATGAATTCAAAATATTGACTGATCAAGGACAGATGAAAAACATCCGAGTGGAGCTAGCAAGAGGAAGATCTCTTTGGAAAAATGTCTGAAGTTAGTCATCAGATGTGATGCGGCAAGTGAATAAGATGGTGCCTGACGTCAGGCTAGCAAAATCATTTCACCTCCACCCTGTCGCAAGTTGCCTCGTATATCCTCTGCCATCATTTATCTGGCCGTGTTGATCTTAAGTCACTGCTTGTCTAAGCCGTCACGGATTTGCTCCGTGCATTAGTTTGGAAAATAATGACCGCTGTGTCAACGTGATGGTGTCTTCACTCCTAAGCAGCTTTCACCACACTCAAGATCGGATGCGAACACGACCGTGAATAATAAAACATTGTCATATTTTAATTTGGATAGTGCAATTAATTTGGTATCCGCCCTGTTCTTTATTCTGAATCATATTTACAATATTTCATTGCTGCAGCATGTGTAAGCCAG